TGGTCGCACGGCCGCCTCCGAGGCCACGACGCGCGGAAAGGCCAGCCTTGGAGGAATGAGTCCACGGCGGGCTCGACGGACTCGGGTCGCCCCGTACCCCTGCCCGGCCCTGATACGGAGGCAGGCGCTGGCTGCTCACCTCAGCGCCACCACCGCCCCCACCAACGGCCCCCGGCCCGGAGCCCGCTCCTCACGCCGGCCCCCGCCCAGCGCCGCCGCCCCGTCCGACGCCGGGGCCTGGGCCGCAGGGCCGCGAGCCGCTCGGGCCTCCGGGGTCTGGTCGGGGGACGAGCGCTTCCCTGCGGCGGGCCCCTGGGCGCGGCCGCCGCCGTCGGACTCCGGGCGGAGCGGACACCCGGGCCGGCGGTCAGGGCCCCGGCCCCGCCAGCCAAGGCCCGAATCTGTGCGGCGGGGACAGCGTCTCCCCTCGCGCCCTGTCCGTCCCGTCACCGCGGCGCCCGCCCGGCGCTCCGAATCCCAGAGCCGACTGACAGGACTTCAGGGCACAGGCAAAACGGTCGCCTACCAGAGCGATGCCGGAAGTCCCGCCCTGACGGCTTGGGGCTCAGCCGGAAACGCCGATTTGGCTTCTGCTCCTGCTGTGCCCGGTGACCAAGGCCAAGGCCCCTCGTCGCACAGCTTTCCGGACAACGGAGTTCTCACAGAGCCACAGGCGCGCGTAAGAGCGCTCGCGCCTCACCTCCAACCCAAAAGGCCGAACTGCGCCGCGAGGACCTCTGGGAAATGGCGCCTTTAGGTTGCCGTAGGGGGGAAGGACTTAGCTCCTTCTTAAAGAGGCCGTACGTAGATGTCTAGGGAGTCTGGGTGCAACTGAGCACCTCTTTGGAGATATGTTATTTTAGAGTCCATGAAGCTCAACATGCTCTCAGAAGCTAAACATATCCTTTCGGATGCTCCCAAAGGCTACAGATCCAAATGCACAAAATTTTCCAGTGAGTCACAAAATGTGTCCACTGGTAGAGGAAACGATTAAAAATTACCGTATAGTAATTCAAATGCATGCGCTCTGAAGAATTAGAGCCAGTTTTAGGAACTGAACTGTGTATGTTCAGAGACAAGAGGGAAAATACTCCAGATAGGGACCTGACAAGAAAGATGGAGGAGGATGTGCTCCCCTGAAGCAAGAGTACAGATATGGGTCTGTATAACCTGTGATGTCCAATTTGATGAGCTTTTATCCATTCACATCTTTTTTTTTTTTTTTTGGTTTTTTTTTTTTTTTTTACACAGAGAGAACACAAGCAGGGGGGAGGGGGGGAGGGAGAAGCAGGCTTCCCGCAGAGCAGGGAGCCTGATGCGGGGCTCCATCCCAGGACCCTGGGACCATGACCTGAGCCGAAGGCAGTCGCCTAACGACTGAGCCACCCAGGCGCCCCCCATTCACCTCTTATTCATTGTCCTTATATTCCCTTCCTTTAAGATCTGACCTTGATCTCAAAAATAGAAAAATGGAAGAAATACTATTTTGATACAGGACAATGTCTGCAGTGTTCACAGCTGGAGCATGCATGCAAAGGGTGCTCTGAATCCCAAAATGTAGGAGTAGCTTAAATCCATGATCTCATCTCATGACTGAAAAGCGGTTATCATTTCCTGTGATTACAGGGAGTATTCTGCATGAAGAATTGATATCTCAGAAAAACAGTTGTAAAATGCAAATTATAGAAAGCTATTAATTTTTGTAACTGTGTAAGGTGATGGATATTAACTAGAGTTATTGTAGTCGTTTCACAGTGTATACAAATATGGAATCATTATGCTGTACACCTGAAACTAATATAATGTTATATGTCAATTATACCTCAACTTTTAAAAATATTTTATTTATTTATTTGTCAGAGAGAGAGAGAAAGAATACAAGCAGAGGGAGTGGCAGGCAGAGGGGAGAAGCAGGCTCCCCACTGAGCAAGGAACTCGATGCAGGACTTGATCCCAGGACCCTGGGATCATGACCTGAGCCGAAGGCAGACGCTTACCCAACTGAGCCACCCAGGTGTCCCCAGTTACACCTCAATTTAAAAAGTTTTAAAGACGGTTATTAATTATGACTATGTAGTGATACAGAGATGGTGGCAGAAATGTCTCTGGAGAAGTACCTTGGATGGTGAAAGAAGTGAAGATCTTGGAGAAATTCCAGTAGTGATGATGTTGGTGCACAATGGGTAATTTGGGGATTCTTGAATTGGAAAGTTTTTAGAGCTGATCATTCTGTTTTTCCATTAAAAGATTCCATGTTCCTGAGTAATAGAGTACCATTCAATGGAGACAATTTCTTCACGAAAACTTTGAGCCTGTGAAGAACATTAACACATCTAATTGAAAGACTTAAAAAAAACCAGCAAATCCTAGTTAAGGTTAAGCATTAAGCATAAGACTCTCCCTGAGAAGAAATAGCTCTTTCATGTAGGAATAGCATTGTCATTGAGTTTATTAAAGGTAAGAAATTTTAGACATGTTGTTCATAGCATCCATGACACCTAATATATCGTTTTAAAATGCTATTCAGGGGCACCTGGGTGGCTCAGTCAGTTAAGCATCTCTTAATTTTGGCTCAGGTCATGATCTCAGGGCCCTTGGATAGAGCCCTGTGTGGGGGCTCCGTGCTCAGCACTAAGTTGACTTGTCCCTCTCCCTCTGCTCCTCCCCACTTCAAATAAATAAATAAATAAATAAATAAATAAATAAATAAATAAATAAAATGTTAGATAATTCCATAACATGTTTTATGTTTAAATATATTTGACTATTTTACACTGCATTTTCAAAATTAAAAAATAAAAAGTAATTTTCAAACTGTTAACCTTAAAAATAACAACTGCCAGTTATTTTTCCAGCAAAAGATGGTTTTATTTGGGACTAAAAGAGAGAATTGCAATCCAGGACAAATAAGCTGCAACAAAGCCATAGGCAAGTCCGGAGAACAAAGAATATATATACTTTTTTTTTTTTTTAAGAAGAAAAGAGGTAAGTTGGGAAGGCTGTTATAAATTAAAAGTCCTTTGGAATAAACTGGAAGTTCGAAGTAGAGTAGATTCTAATCCTCTGAGCTGTTGTGGGATGGGGTAGGGATAAGGAAACCTTTTCATTCTCAGGCTTGTAGCATAAAATAGTATCCACTGCAAGGTCAAGTCGGGGTAGAGTCAAATCTTTCTTCCTGTTGGGTCTGCAACTGACTACAAGTGGTAGGGTGTGAGAGCTCCCCCTGCTGAAACTTCACCATTACATTTTAGTGAAGTTTCCTGTTACTAATTTTCACACAATTTAATTTTTTTTAAATCAGTCATCATTAAAGGAAGGACTTTGTATGAAGTGATAGACTTTTCTTACCTGGAAAGTAATATGCTATTGAAATTAGTGGTAATAAATAGCAAATGATATAATAAATTTGAGAGGTAAAGAGGATAAGTGCATTCAATTCTTCAAAGTGCCAATAGCTGACAATAAGTTCTGAAAATGGATTTCATTTTATGGAGGATAATTTACAAAAGCTGCCTACTCAATACTGTGTTGCATTACTTTTTAAACTAATTTTTTTTAAAGATTTTATTTATTTATTTGACAGAGAGAGACACAGCGAGAGAGGGAACACAAGCCGAGGGAGTGGGAGAGGGAGAAGCAGGCCTCCCACTGAGCAGGGAACCCGATGCGGGGCTCGATCCCAGGACTCTGGGATCATGACCTGAGCCAAAGGCAGACGCTTAACGACTGAGCCACCCACTAATTTGTTATTTATTTGACAGAGAGACAGACAGAGAGAGAGAACACGCAGGGGGAGCAGCAGGGAGCCTGATGCGGGGATTAATCCCACAACCCTGGGATCATGACCCGAGCCAAAGGCAGACACCCAACAGACTGAGCCATGCAGGCGCCCCTGTATTGCATTACTTTTAAGCACTAATTAAAACAAAAAACCTTTCCATTAAAACTAATATCAAAAGCACTAAGGTGTAAACTAACGAAATAAAGTTATTTCAGTTGAATACTTAGCACTTTTATCATAAGCAATGTCATGATTGCAATATGCTGTATGATCAGGGGAAAGAGGTAAGAAAAGAAGCAGGAAAAAGGGCAATGGTTCTGGCAAGTATGGAAGGTGCCTAAACAAACAAAACTATCAGGATTTTTTGAAGGAAAGATGATGGGTTTGTGGGGGTTTAATCAAGTCAAATAAATACACTAGAGTCAGAATATCATGTCAATAACAAAATAAAAAAAACTAAAATAACTCATTTCTCAACATAAAGTTGATGCTAGATTATAGCCAAGTAAAGAAAAGAGGACTAAAATAAATTAAATATATTGGTAAATTTCTTAATTTTGTTTCCTAAATAAAGCCTATCTAGATGAAAATCTTGGAGGGAATACTCAAAAATAAAAATCAAGCCAGTAGAATTTTGCAATAAACAAGGAATATAAAAGTCACAAAATATCAATTTCATTGTTATCTAAAACAGAAAAAGTAAATTTCGGGGCAGCTGGGTGGCTCAGTCAGTTAAGTGTCGGCCTTCGGCTCAGGTCGTGATCCCAGGGTCCTGGGATGGAGCCCCAAGTTGGGTTTCTTGCACAGTGGGGAGCTTGCTTCTCCTTCTGCCTGCCACTCCCCCTGCTTGTGCTTGTGCTCTCTCTGTCAAATAAATAAATAAAATCTTAAAAAAAAAAAAGAAAAAGAAAATTTCAAACACTGACTGAAGAATCCAACCTGGACATATCAATTAGTAATTTGGTGTCATTAGTTCTGTTGCAACACAAAATGACTATGAATTGTGCTAAACAGCTTGATTTTAGTGAGGGCGTAGAAAAAATCGTCAGAATTATAATCAATCATGTTTAGGAATTTGAGAAATATTTTCTTAAAGATTTTATTTTTTTCAAAACTTAAGAATTTTATTTCATGCAGCTAAGACAAACATAAAACAAAAGTGGTGCCTACACAAAATCAAACAGAGAGACAATTCATCTATATAATTCTAGAAATTATAAAAAATATGGAATACTTCATGAATTTGTGTGTCATCCTTGTGCAGGGACCATCTTAATCTAACCTGTATCATTCCAATTTTAGTATAGGTGCTGCCGAAGCGAGCACTAACGATTTTATTTTATTTTTAAAGATTTTATTTATTTGAGAGAAAGCACGTGCGTGAGAGAGAGCATGAGCAGGGGTAGGGGCAAAGGGAGAAGGAAAAGCAGACTGCCCACTGAGCAGGGAGCTCAACATGGGGCAGGATCCCAGGACTCTGGGATCATGACCTAAGCCAAAAGGCAGATGCTTAACTGACTGAGCCACCCAGGTGCCCCTAAAGATTTTTTTTTTAAGTAATCTCTACACACAACATGGGGCTCAAACTTACAACCCTGAGATCAAGAGTCACATGCTGGGGCGCCTGGGTGGCTCAGTCATTAAGCGTCTGCCTCCGGCTCAGGTCATGATCCCAGGGTCCTGGGATCGAGCCCCGCATCCGGCTCCCTGCTCAGCGGGAAGCCTGCTTCTCCCTCTCCCACTCCCCCTCCTGCTTGTGTTCCCTCTCTCACTGTCTCTCTCTGCCAAATAAATAAATAAAATCTTAAAAAAAAAAAAAAGGGTCACATGCTCTGCCGACCAAGCCAGGTAGGCAGCCCTCGAGAAAATATCTTTAAAAATCATATGGGGGGCACCTGGGTGGCTCAGTCTGTTGAGTGTCTGACTCTTGGTTTTGGCTGGGGTTGTGATCTCCGGGTCACAGGATTGGGCCTCCCTGTTGGGCTCTGCTTCTGCGCTCAGCTCAGCGTTGGCTTGAGATTCTCTCTCTCCTTCTCCCTCTGCTCCTCCCCCCATGCTCGCTCGCTCACGCACTCTCTCTCTCTCCCTAAAATAGGTAAGTATATAAAATCTTTTAAAAAATCCTATGGCAAATGATCATATATAAAGATAATCTAAATAAGTCTGCAGTAATTTCTCTGAAAGAGCAGTAAAAAGCACTGTGATATTGATACAGGGGCATAGAATTTAGGTAAAAAATGTAACAGAATATATAGCTCATTTAAAGGGTCATGTGTATATTTTGATCCTCAATTATGGGGGAAGTGGCATGAGATAGCAATAGGAATGTAAGCTTTTAAATATATTCTGAAGCAATGAAGTATACAAATGGTAAAATATGGGGTGCGTGGGCAGCTCAGTTGGTTGAGTGCCTGTCTTCGGTTCAGGTCATGATCCTGGAGTCCTGGGATCAGGCCCTGCATCGGGGTCCCTGCTCTGCAGGGAGTCTGCTTCTCCCTCTGCCCTTCACCCTGCTGGTGCTCTCACCCCGCTTGTGCTCTCTGGCTCTTGCTCTCTCTCAAATAAATAGATAAAATCTTAAAAAAAATTTTTTTAATGGTAAAATACGAATTTAGACCTCTTCTTCAAAGTATACAGAAATATTAGTTGCAGGTGGAGAGAGCTTACTTGGAATGACAGGAACGACTGTTTTACAAGTTGACTGAAGAGAATGCATGTACAATGTACATAGAGGATTTCTCAAAACAGACACAAAAATATGACAGTAAGTATGTATTTAAATATAACCAACTACAAAAAATATAACCAATTACATTAAAAGGAAAGAGTCTATGATTACAGAATACCACAAAAACAGAAATGATGAGCCACCCAGTTTAGAAGATATGTGAATCACTCATAATTGTTAAAAAGCAGCTATATAAATAATTAAATCATTTAATAAAGAAGTCCTACAAATTAGTGAGATAGAAATCATCTCACTCAAAAGTGAAAACCTTTTGTATAGATGACAAGAATTCCAAAAAGCCAACCATGCCAATAAGAAAAACAATTTTGAAAGTTTAATCTTAAACCAGAGTGACATCAATAAATGGCAGACTCGGAATCTACAGGCCCTTACTATCCTTAAAAACACTGAATAAACAAAACATGCTGATCAAAATAGCTTTACGAGTACTTACGCATCAGTTAGAGGTCTACAGAAGTCCAGGAAGGAAGGAAAACAGTGGGGCTTGATTGCCGTGTTCTGGCTTGTCTGAAAGCTGACCCAGGGTCCAGTTTCTGCATCGCCTGCCTCGGTGATGATGGGAATGGTGGCAATCGTTTGGAAATCAGGTTGGAGGCAGTAAGGACACTGGCAGATTACAAACCTTGGGATAGCTGCGGGAAGACAGCAGTCTGGTAGGTGGCTGGGGACAGTTTAGGCAGAGGAATACACCAGAAGAATTGGGTGTGAGACCATTAAGAAAATTAAGACATGTGTAGAATTGGGGAACACACACACACAGACACACACCAGGGGAGATGCATGATGCCCGGAAAAGATAGGAGAAGGCCTCAAGCTTTCATGCTAGGTTGATTAGTGGAAGTCTTTCCCTGCATGGAGCCAGTCCCTAAAGACTCAGAGAGGTGGCTCTCCAGTTGGCTAAGTCAGAGTCTTATATAATGTAACAATTAAAAGAGCAACTATTCTATCTCCTCAACCTAATCATGGGAGGGCCATACATGACATTTCCATATTCACAGAGCCACACTCAAGGGGAAGAAATGATACAGCTATGTACACCAGGGGCAAGAATCTTGGGGGCCATCTTAGAATTCCACCTACCACAGTGGTTTCTGCTAAGAGACATCTGCCCATGAAGACTCATGTTCTTCCCTTCCTTGGTTTATTCAAGGTGATAAAAAGCAGTCCAGCCTCTCCATGCTGGTGTCTATATATGATATGTAGTGAGCTGCCCGCAAAACCAACACTGGAATATGTACCAGGCTGGGGGCCAATGACCAGAGAGCCTAGCCATAAACCTTGATGGATTCCAGAGGCACAGAGGTACACTGAACCCTGGATTCCCCACTTTCTGGGCCCTCACCTGATTTGGAACGCTGGGATATAATTGCTCTGAGAGTTACCAATGATGTAATGGATTTCCATCCTGCTTCCTCTAGTACCAGCTAGCTCCCAGTAAATTTTAAGTAGCTGGGATGGGGGGGAGGTGCCTGGGTGGCGTTTAAGCGTCTGCCTTCAGCTCAGATCATGATCTCAGGGTTGCGGGATCGAGCCCCGCATCGGGCTCCCTGCTTGGTGGGAAGTCTGCTTCTCCCTCTAGCCCTTCCCTGCTCATGCCTGCATACGCATTCTCTCTCTCTGAAATAAACAAGGTCTTTTTTTTAATATTTTATTTATTTATTTGAGAGAAAGAATGAGCTAGAGCATGAGAGGGGGGAGGGTCAGAGGGAGAAGCAGACTCCCTGCTGAGCAGGGAGCCCGATGCGGGACTTGATCCTGGGACTCCAGGATCATGACCTGAGCCGAAGGCAGTCGCTTAACCAACTGAGCCACCCAGGTGCCCTGAAATAAATAAGGTCTTAAAAAAAATAAAAGCAATTGCTATAGACTGTTTGTGACTCCCCCATCCCCTGCGTGATGTCATTTGGAGGTGAGGCCTTGGGGAGGTAATCAGGCCATGAGGGTGGAGCCCTCATGAATGGGATCAGTGCCCTTATAATCAGAAACGAGAGAGTTTGCTGCTTCTCTCCCTCTCTCCACCATGTGAGGAAATCAGGAATAGGGCTTGCCCGAGAACTCAACCATGCTAGCACCTTGGTCTTGGACTTCTAGCCTCTAGGACAGTGAGAAATAAATATTTGTTGTTTAAGCCACCTCATCAACAGCATTTTTTTTAGGGCAGCCTGAGCCAACTAAGATAGCAGTCTTGCTTCCTAACTTAGGATTTTATCTCATAGGGGCTGGGTGTGTGTCTTCCCCAAGGATATGAGGTTGCACTGAAGGGCACTGAAGGCCCACCCAGGGTCTGGGGGCTGTGGATCGGTGCAGGACACCGGCCAGCACTGCCCTGCTGTCCCCTGGGCCACCCATCCCACACGTAACTCCTTCCTGGCTGCACCACCAAGGCAGGTGCAAACTGTTGGCTGAAAGATTCTTTGGACTGTCCCAATTTCTCATATATAACCCCACTATTCCTTTGTCACGTTGTCTATTATAATTTTTGTTGTTGTTGTTATAATTTTTTTATTTTAGGAAGGATGGAAACTGGAAGGAAGAGTCAGGAAGCCTAGGTCTGGCTTCAGTTCACCCTCAAATTAGACAAAATCTTTTTTTCAACAGTTTGTTTGGGATCTCTTTCACATACCACAACATTTGCTCTTTTAAAGAGTACAATCCCGTGGTGTTTTGTTTTTGTTTTTTTCATTTTTTAGTATATTCACCACGTTGTATAACCATCACAACTACCTAGTTTTTAAACATTTTCCTTACCCCAAAAAGAAACCCCACACCCATCAGCAGTCCTTCCCTTTTCTCTTCTCACCCAGTTCCTGGAAACACTTAACTACTCTCTGCCTCTATGGATTTGATTATTTTGGGCATTTTGGATAAATGAAATCAGAAAACGTGTGACCTTTGTGTCTAACTTATTTCATTTAGCATAACGTTTTCAAGGTTTCTCTATGTTGTAGATGTATCGGTATTTCTGTCTTTCTTATGGCTGAAGAATATTCCATTGTATAGATAGACCCCCATTTTATTTATCTTTTTGTCAGTTGATGGACAGCTGGGTTGTTTCCACCTTTTTGCTCTTATGAGTAATGCTGCTGTGGACATTTGTGTCCAGGTTTTTCTGTGTATGTGTGTTTTCAGGTTCCTCGGACCTAACCTGAAGAGTGGAATTGCTAGGCCATGTAGTGACTGTCTGTTTAACTTTCCGAGGAACCATCAGACCGTTTTCCAAAGCACTGACCCATTTGGATCCAGTCTTGACTCCTATATTTCCACAGCTCTCAGCAGCTCCCGGCTTATAGCATCCCACAACTGGCCATGCTTTACAGCTCCTTGCCTACAGACCCTTTTTCCTCACCAGGTCCCAGCTCCTTAAAAACAGGGATGATTGCATCTTAATCCAGTGTCATATCTATTTTGATATTCTCAGCTTCTTTGTGAGGAAAATAGAGGCAAGGTACTGGAATTGATAGATAATAGCCCTGGAAAAATTTTGTATGATGAAAGCAATTCCTTAGCTTGGTCTGAGAGACTGCCCAAAGAAATCATTTGTGCTTTTGGTTAGGACCAAGGAAAGAAAATCCTAAAA